TTTTGTGTGAAGGTTGAGTTGTTCTTGAGCGTACTTAGTTTACTCATAATCTACTCTATAAGAGAGTCTCGTTCTTGAGTGTATTTGTGTTCTTAGACACTTTGAGAGAAGGTACTTCTCTCGGTAGATTCAAAGGAAGGGTTGTTTCCTTTGAAGGATTCGTTGAGGTTCGTGTGACTTGAACTCTCAAGTTGTAACGGTTTGTTAAGCACCCGCAAGCTTAACGAGATAGTAGTGTAGCTCGAGAGAGTCTCTCGGGAGGCTGGATTAGCCACAAGTTGTGGTGAACCAGGGTAAAATTCGGTGTGCCTTTTTCTCTTCCCTTTACTTCCATTTTAATTTTTTAATTCCTGCGATTTCTACGATCAAACGCTATTCACCCCCCCTCTAGCGTTGGTCTATTATTCTAACAACAATGACTTTGTCAACTACGGAAGCAGAGTACATGGCCTTGACAGAAGCTGCAAAGGAGGGAATTTGGTTGAAAGGGCTGGTTAGTGATCTTGGTCTGCATCATGATAAGGCTACAGTGTATTGTGACAGTTTGAGCGCGATTTGTCTAGCCAAGGATCAAGTCCATCATGAAAGAACCAAGCATATTGACGTGAGGTATCATTTCCTGAGGAGTGAGAGGAGAATCCAGGTGAAGAAAGTAGGAACTGCTGATAATCCTGTTGATATGTTCACAAAGTTAGTTTCGCAAAGCAAGTTTCAACACTGTTTGGACTTGCTTAACATCAGAAGTTGTTAGTTGCCCTGTGGGGCAAATTCTGAGGAACAGGGGAAGGCCTGGCACAACCATAGTGCGCCTGAAGAATCTGTATGGAGAATTCAAGTCGAGGTGGAGATTTGTTGTAATGCCTTCAATCTGACCCGTTATAGCAGGGAGATGTCTGGATCTGGAGATGTCCGGATCCGGAGAAGTCCGACTTCCGAGAAATCCGAATTCGGAGAGGTCCGAATTCCGAGAAGTCCGAATCTCGAGAGGTCCGAATCCTGAGATGACCGAATCCCACTCTAATTGGGCTTCTAATTATCTGTTAATTCTGTAGTTTTGAGCCCAAGTCTGTTAGGGTTTAGCCAAGCACTATATGTATGGGTGCTACCACAAACCCTACGCTGTATTCTGTTCTTTGCCTCTCCGTCCATAGTAAAACTGCTCCCTCCTCTTCCCCGTGGATTAGCCAACACAACGTTGGTGAACCACATTAAATCTGTTGTCGTGTTTTTCTCGTTTATATTTGTTATTCTCGAATTCTGCATAACAACTTCCAAACAAAGACCTATGATGCTCTTTGAGGTAATCTTATTACCTACGAAACCACCCAACTCTCAAAGGTGGTTGAAGAGAGGAGCAAGAGGTCTATTGCTCTACCCGCAACAACATCAACCCACAACAACGTTCATGATGAGGATGATGACAGTGACGACACCGACCTCGGACACTTCGTCCGAAAATTCAAGAAGATTATGCTCAAGAAGTGAGCCAAGAAGAACACCCCACCGACCCAAGTGCTATATGTGTGGTGAAATTGGACACATCAAACCAATGTATCCAAAGCTCAAGAACGAGAAGGACAAGAGGGCACTGAATAAGCAACGTGCCTACATTTCTTGAAAGAACGATGGCTCTGGGAGTGAAGACTCAAAAACGGAAGAAGTGGCCAACCTATGTCTCATGGCCATTGAAGATGGGGAAACATCAAAAGAGGTAAGTGATCAAGAACCTTCTCCCAATTATCCTTTAACTCTTAATGATGTAGTTTGCATTGTAGAGGAACTAGTAGGAATGTTCAAAAAGGCTTTTAAAGAAAATAATAAAGCAAAGCAAAAAATCTTGATTTTTGAGAATGATGTCAAAGAACTCAAAAATATAAATGATAAATGTTTAGGACTTGTCGTGCGGTCCAAAACAAATTAAAAATTTATAAATAACCTTAGCTAACCCCCAAAATATAATCAAATAAAAACTATAGCTAGGGCAAGTAAGGGTCGATCCCACTGAGAAAGATTGTACTTTTGAAATAAAACTAACTACTACACATATGATAACACTTAATATAAAACTTATAAATAACTTATATAAACAAAGAACTTATAATATAACTTATAAACATAAAACACATACTTAAGTATGTAAAAGTAAATAAAGTAAAAATAACTTATATTTATAACTTATAAACAAACACTTATAATATAACTTGGTACATATAATATAACTTAGTAAAAAAAACTTATAATAACTTAAAACACAAAGGGGGGGGCGTTGGATGAAAAGAAAATATTTTTTGGTTTTTTATGTTTTTCTTATTTTTTTTTGATTTTTTTTTATAAAATGGGGGAAAACAAGCTCAAAAGATAATCAACTTCTCCAACTAAGGTAACCCAAGAAACACCGCCAAAAACCCAAAACAAAATGAAAAAGAGAACAAACACAAGTCGAACATTACACGTATAATAGGCACGTAGACAATATGTTATGTAACTTACGCACTTAAGAATAAGAAAAATCAATCAAAGGCCGAGTCGATTCATTTCCTTAACCACGATATAGAGGATTGTCAACTCTCCACACGGCCCGGAGTCATGCAATTCAAAGGCCCGTTTTGAAATATACCTTAGAACCCCAACTCTTTATTCAAGCATGCAAACATACTTCCACTAGGGAAAAAGTTTATAAAAGAGAGAATCTATTATGCATTCAACTCTCATACATAATCTATTCACAAATCGCCAATACCTTATGCATTTTAATAAACTTTTTCTCCTAATGAAGAGCATATTTCACAGATTTCCATGATTTTCTCAAACCAATGACGTTTTTTCTATTCACATAGATGAGCACAACATATTTTCAATAAATCAAGAATTTTTTTTTAGCTTAAACAACCTTGATTTTATGAAAACAACAAACAAACATACGGAAACATAACAATCACTCAATAACGAATTCTAAGAAAAATGAATCAACTTATGGGGCTAAGAAGTCCAAAATTCTTAAAATAAACAAACACAAATCAAAACAAAGAATCACGTATGAATCCGGAGTTCATTTAACTATATTATGGAGCTAAAATAGCTTTAACAAAAACCGAATTCCCCATACCAACCTACTTATGAAATCAGATTATACAATCCAACCAATTTAACAACAATTTGCTCAATAATTGAAGAAAGCTAGCTAGTTTGAATCAATTCTCATTCATAAGGGATTTAATATAAACATTCAAAAAAACCCATAAAAGAAGAACACCAACCATTTTTTGGAATTTTCGAAATTAACACAACAAGCAAACAAACATGTAAAAAATGAACAAAAAGCAAACTTTTACATAGAATTAGAGAAAAATTGAAGAAATAACAATAGAGTTACCAATTGTTGAAGAACATGAAAAAATTGAAAGATTAGCTTGAAGGAGACTGCCCATCCCTCGCTGGAGTTGTCGCCGGCCTCCAGTTCGCGCCTGTCGGCCGCCACCGCCGCCGCCGCGGCTCTATCTCTGCGTTGTTCCCCGTGTTTCCCCCCATCGTTAATTGTTGCAATTTGCCTTCAATTTATAGTCCAAGGAGAACCACTTGCCGTTGAATTTCTTCCCGTTGGCGATTAATTGTTGCGAATCTTACGGAGAAACGTTGGAGCGTTGAAGGAATTGGTCCTTCGCTGCTTGCGTTAATGAAGAAGGAGAAAGCCGCTGCATTTTGTCTTCGTTGCGGGAGGAAAAATAATGAAATGGAGTGGGCTGATCTCTTTTTCTGTTGGGTTTGGGCTCCGGCCCAAATTTGATCTCTTTCTTTAAAACATGGACTTCTAATTCAGTCTTTTGCTACATTTTTCTCCAAAAAATAAGATATCTAATAATTTTGGGTTAGGAAAAATAAAATAAAAATAATAAATGTAAAAAATGATCAAAAGCTACTATTTAAGAAAGAAAAATAAAAGATTGTAAACATAAGAATTAAAATAAAACTAAGCTAAACCACTAAAAATCAAACACTAAAAATATTAAAAATGCCTAAAAAAGATTAAAAAGAACTAACCCAAACCCGACTTATCAAATACCCCCACAATTAAGACATGAATGCCCCCGTTCAAAAGGGAAAAAAGAAACCAAACTTTTTATCATGATCAAGAATAACAAAATGCACTTTACACACTCACACTTAAAACTTTATGCCCATAGCATTTTACAAAACAAGGTGAACTAAAAACCTTATAAGGATGAAGAACTAAAATATGATTATTCGGGTTCTAAAAAATGCTCTATTGTTGCCACAAAAAAGTTTCTTAAGGGGATCATATGGTTCAAAACGGCTCAATGGCAACGGTAGCAAGGTTAATCAATAAGCCTAAAAATATACACACAATTCTCTAAAAATAAAAGGCTCCTAAACTGGTTTCTTTTCAATATTAAGAATTTTATATCAAACAATGGTTGATTATGCAGCATCTAGATAGTATGTGGATGGCTAGTTTTAGAAAACAAAATTGTAAAGAAACCTAAAAGGACTCAAACTTTTCAAGGTCATTTTATCAAGAAAATGGGCATAAGACTCAAGGCGAGTTTATAAAGAAACATTTGTTATCTTTCAGAACAAAGCTAAAAAAAATGAGGTTTATGTGTCAACATTTAAAAACAATGCTCTAAATAAGAAGAAGTGCTCCTAAGAATGACAAAATATTTGGACCCAAAACTTATCGGGAAAAAAAATTTGCCCAAAACTAAACTCTCCCAAATAATCACATAAACATGAGAACCTCCCCCCACACTTAAATCATGCATAGTCCTCGATATATCTAAATGATATGCAAATGAACAAATAATGATATAGCAAAGAGAATGAGTCAAGAGAGAAGGGGACGGGGAGATTCAACTAAAAAGTATACGCCGCATCAATTATTCATTTCCCGTTCCTAATTGTGCTCTTTGGACCTTAAAATCTGCAAAAAGAAGGCTAAGACCAAGTATTTTAGCGTTGAAGAACAAAAAATCTAATTTCAAATATGTAGATTTTTTTCTAATTGAGCACATATAAGATGTGAAAAGTTTAGAATTTCCATTCTGCACTCAAAAAAACAAGCTTACAAAGTGCATATTTTTTTAATTTATAGCCCAAAAATCTAATTTGAGAAGTGCTGAATTTTTCCATTAGTACCCAAAAATCAACTTTAAAAGTGCAGAATTTTCAATTTTCAGCCCATAACTGATCAAATATAAACACCCAAGGCTTAAGAAAATTAAAATTTAATAGCATACCAACAACTAGGCACCAAGAATTGATGTTTCATAACAGATTTTGCACCATTTTTGTGCAGATTTTTTACTCCAAATAGAGATGCTCCAACCTAAGACTCAACAAATCTTGCAAAAACTCTCAAAAAAGAAGGTTAGAAGCACAAATGAAGTAAAAACATTTAAACTCAAATAACAAGCAACATACTTTTTTTCTTTTCAATATTATATTTTTTTTTGTTTTTTTCAAAAATTAAATGAAAGAGAAAAAAGAAGAAAAAAAAGAAATCCTATAATTATAACGACTACTATTACATCGATACGGAAAAAAATTACAAGAAAAGTAAGTTGGTTATTAAAAGAAAGAGAACTAAAACCAAATTAACAACCACAAGGGAAAAAAATTATAACAACAACAATAAGTTAAAGTTAGAAATAAGCATAAAGAACTTTAAAACTAATGTTAAAAAAAATGCTACTCCGTATTAAAGTAAGTGGGTCATAATAAAAAAAATTAAAAAAAAGGAACAAAATGCAACCAACAACAATAAGAAAAAAAAAAGAAATACAACAATAATTTAAAGAAGTTAGAAATAAAAAGAACTTTAAAAAAAATGGAAAAAAAAACTTAAAAAGAAAGAGGGTTGCCTCCCATAAGCCGCCCAGTTTAACGTCTTTGGCTAGACACAGCTTACTACTTGCCAATAACATATTCACTTAGCCCATCAAGTAGTATAGATAATATGTGTTTCTTTATAACACTAAAAAAATGAGTAAAAACAAGATGGGTTCAAAATTCAAATTTGATTTCACTTTTTACTCAAGAAGTAGCACATTGTAGTCAGTTGAGGAAAAAAAATCAGGTTTAAAGGTGCAAGTTAAAGCTTGAGATCACATTCTTAAATCAAATTTTGAACCTTTTTTTCACTTTGAGAGCAAGGAGTATATATATAAGGATCAAGAAAAACATATTCTAAATGATCCCACATAAGTTCCCAAGCATGTTTTTAAGAATGGAACTTCAAAATTCAGCATATATGCATCTTGGAACACAAATATCAGCATGAAAATCACGAAAAGATGTTGCAGATTTTTTTTAATTAAAAAAAACGTGCAGATCAGATTTTATCAAAAATTCAGCTCCTAAAACATCAAAATTAGCAAGAAAACATCATGGCATGCTTGAAAATATTTTCCCCAAGCAAGATATATCAATTATAGTTCATATTTGAAGCAACGCAGCACTCTTAAAGAACCAAAATTATAGTTCATAACTTATAGTGCATCAAAATATTGTCTCCAAGCAAGATATATCAATTATAGTTCATAACTTATTGTCCCCGGCAACAGCGCTAAAACTTGTTGGGGACTTGTCGTGCGGTCCAAAACAAATTAAAAATTTATAAATCACCTTAGCTAACCCCCAAAATGTAATCAAATAAAAATTATAGCTAGGGCAAGTAAGGGTTGATCCCACTGAAAAAGATTGTACTTTTGAAATCAATTAAGCATGGACACAAATTGTCACTAAATAAAATAAAACTAACTACTACACATATGATAACACTTAAAGAAAACTTATAATAAAACTTATAACTAAATTAATATAAAACTTATAAATAACTTATATAAACAAAGAACTTATAATATAACTTATATACATAAAACACATACTTAAGTATATAAAAGTAAATAAAGTAAAAATAACTTATATTTATAACTTATAAACAAACACTTATAATATAACTTAGTACTTATAATTTAACCTAGTAAAAAAAAACTTATAATAACTTAAAACACAAAGGGGGGGGCGTTGGATGAAAAGAAAATATTTTTTGGTTTTTTATGTTTTTCTTTTTTTTTTTTTTGATTTTTTTTTATAAAATGGGGGAAAACAAGCTCAAAAGATAATCAACTTCTCCAACTAAGGTAACCCAAGAAACACCGCCAAAAACCCAAACCAAAATGAAAAAGAGAACAAACACAAGTCGAACATTACACGTATAATAGGCACGTAGACAATATGTTATGTAACTTACGCACTTAAGAATAAGAAAAATCAATCAAAGGCCGAGTCGATTCATTTCCTTAACCACGATATAGAGGATTGTCAACTCTCCACATGGCCCGGAGTCATGCAATTCAAAGGCCCGTTTTGAAATATACCTTAGAACCCCAACTCTTTATTCAAGCATGAAAACATACTTCCACTAGGGAAAAAGTTTATAAAAGAGAGAATCTATTATGCATTCAACTCTCATACATAATCTATTCACAAATCGCCAATACCTTATGCATTTTAATAAACTTTTTCTCCTAATGAAGAGCATATTTCACATATTTCCATGAACTTCTCAAACCAATGACGTTTTTTCTATTCACATAGATGAACACAACATATTTTCAATAAATCAAGAATTGTTTTTGAGCTTAAACAACCTTAATTTTATGAAAACAATAAACAAACATACAGAAACATAACAATCACTCAATAACGAATTCTAAGAAAAATGAATCAACTTATGGGGTCGCCATGGCTTCGGTTTGTCCATTTCAAATCGTTTTAGGAGCTCCTTGCAATACTTAGCTTGGCAAATGAACGTGCCATCTTTCATTTGCTTGACTTGGAGTCCCAAAAAGAATGTGAGCTCGCCCATCATTGACATTTCAAATTCGCTAATCATTAGCGTTGAGAATTCCTTGCACAAAGACTCATTAGTAGCACCGAATATAATATCGTCTACATAAACTTGAACCAATAGGATGTTATTGTTTTTACTCTTGATAAAAAGTGTGGTGTCTACCTTTCCCCTTTGGAAACCACTATCCAAAAGAAATTTGCTCAAACGTTCGTACCAAGCACGGGGTGCTTGTTTAAGACCGTAGAGCGCTTTCTTGAGTTTGAAGACATGATCGGGAAACTCAAAGTCTTCAAACCCCGGGGGCTGGTCAACATACACTTCCTCTTGAATAAAACCATTGAGGAAGACACTCTTAACATCCATTTGATAAAGTTTAAAATCCATAGACGAAGCAAAAGCAAGAAGTAAACGAATAGCTTCTAAACGTGCTACGGGTGCATAGGTTTCTTCAAAATCAATGCCTTCTTCTTGATTGTAGCCTTTAGCTACGAGCCTAGCTTTGTTTCTAGTGATTATTCCATTTTCATCAAGTTTGTTATGGAACACTCATTTCGTACCAATAATCGTATGATCATCGGGCCTTGGCACCAATTCCCAAACGTCATTCCGTTTGAATTGGTTTAGCTCCTCTTGCATAGCCAAGGTCCAATGTTCATCGTTTATTGCTTCGGAAATGGTTGTAGGTTCAATTTGAGAAACAAAAGCCATGTGACCTACGGTGTCCCTAAGAGAATTACGAGTACTTACCCCGCGGTTGATGCTACCGATTACCTGGTCAAGTGGATGGTTCTTGTGCGCTCTCCAAGCGATGGGAAGCTCGGTTTCCTCTTGTTCCTGGGCTTCCTCTTCTTCGTCCGCTTGGTCCTCATTTTCGACCATCACTTGAGGTGTTTCCTCAGGTTGTGGTTGCGGGTTGGTGTATAATGGCGTGTCTTCTTCATCGTCTTCAACGTGTAATCTTTCGAGTGAATCTGCAAGATCATCACAAATAGCCTTTCTCGCGAAGCGAGCATTATCTTCGGAAAATACAACATGAGGGGATTCCTCAACAGTCAAAGTGCGTTTATTAAAAACTCTATAGGCCTTGCTACGTAGAGAATAACCAAGAAAAATCCCTTCGTCCGACTTGGCATCAAATTTTCCCAAGTTATCTTTGCCGTTATTATGAATAAAACATTTGCAACCAAAGACTCGAAGATGGGAAAGGTTTGGCTTTATCCCTTTGTATAGTTCATAGGGCGTTTTCATGAGTATCGGTCGAATGACGGCTCGGTTTAACACGTAGCTCGCGGTACTCACGGCATCCGCCCAAAAATAATTAGGGGTTTTTGCCTCATTGATCGTAGTTCTAGCCATCTCTTCGAGACATCTATTTTTACGTTCCACCACTCCATTTTGTTGTGGTGTACGTGGGGCTGAGAAGTTATGATCAATGCCAAGTTCGTCACACAAATATGAAAACAGATTTCCTTCGAACTCTCCCCCATGGTCACTTCTTATGGATACTATGGTTGTTTCTTTTTCATTTTGAACTTTCTTTAGAAAATTTTTGAAAAC